GTAAGATAAATACATTCACCAACTTTTATTAAAATTATTTATATGTCACTTAGTATATTTCCGAAACATGGATGGTGGAACGACTAATCAAGACAAAGGTACGCAAAAGAGTTTATAAAAGAGCTGTCGCCCTTATTTTGAGAGAAGCTGCCTAGATCTAATAGAGAGTCTATACGGACTACGGATGGTATCGTCTAAACCTTCACTCTTGGGCCTGGCAGAATGGGCTACGTGCCTATCTGACAGCAAACATAAGGAAGCCCCGCTATATGACCTAAGCCCAAAAATTTGAGATATACCCTCCTCCACACCCTACAACCCTCACCTCTAACTGTTTATCCCTTAAAAAAGTATGAAATAATGATGTTTGAGAAACTCTTACCTTTTTTCTTCTTTTACTCGTATCCTCGCTGCAACTGGATTTATTTTCAAACCTTCAAAATGTTTTCTACCCTAAGACAGTAGCCACATCATGTTAAACTGACATTATAATCTGAGCAGCACTTTCTTAGTTATAGATGGTCAAGGATTATGGACCGACCGATAGAAACGTATTATGGTTTTTGGTGATTATGCCTTGTTCATGTAGCATGGTATCTCATTTTCGAACTTTTTCGCGATTACAATACCTGCTCGCGAATTGGCATGGGAAGTAAACATCATGACTGGTGAAAATTCGTTGTTCCGTAGCTGGTCGGAAATGCCACGCTTGCCGACGTTATTTTTCGTCAAAAATACCAAACCAAATAACAATCTCTCTTCAAGTTCGACATGCAACAGAAAACACAATGTGTCAGCTCTAGCTCAGCATACATAATAGAAACGTGAGTTTAAAAAAGGATACACGAAAAAGACATCATGAGATCTATAGTTAGTCTAATCATATTAGATGAAAATACCCCTGGTTTGCGAAATAATTGTAAAGTCTTGTCATTTATCTTACTGGTGGCCGGAAAACAGGTATTTTGGGATAAACAATTAGAAATTCTCAAAAACTACTTGACCAATATACCCCAATTTTGTTGTTGTTATTTAGAAGTATCAATCCTACGGATTTGAAGAATTTCAAGTAGTTGCGTGAAATTATCGTCGCATTAAACTACAAGTGCCAAAACCTACATTTTGCCTCATTTTTCGGCCATAACGTTTTTGCTATTAGTCGGATCTTTTTACGTGTGGTCTCATTTTGTAGGTCTCAAATTCCTAAAAATCTTGTTTGAAAATTTTTTTCGTTCCTGTAAACACTTCTTTGTTGTCAAATAAAAAGTTTTCCCACAAAAATGGGTGTACCCATTTTACGCGTCCATGTTTTAAATACTTCCTTGAACAACTTGCAAAAATAACACCAGACTTTACAATTCTTTCGGGGAAATTTGCTAATATGATTAGACTAAGTACCATATCAAGTTTTGTGAGACGCTTGAGGATTTTTATCCATCTCAAATTGTACTGACGGACCACAACAAGTTGACTTTGGACCAACTGCCAGCAGGCTCAGATTTGCCATAAGCCTCATCCTTCACCCCTGTCAAGAGTTTTACTTCCCTTCTCTTTGATTCCCTCCACTTAGCCTTAGAGGCTTTAGTACCATCGGCAACGTTGATCGTGCGTCTCCAACGAAAAAAAATCCTGCAAATAAACTACTCACGCAATCTTTATTAGCTATACATGTTAATATTTCTATTCAAAAAAATATAAGTTCCTAACTTCATCCTGTGAGAAAACAATGTGCATTTATGTTCTAACAACAAACTAAACAACATACATAGACAGCGCAAAATTTCACAAGCTCTTACAGTTCCAGCAGGGCAGCATAACTCTGAAATATGAAAAATCTAATTTGATGTCGCGTAAAAAGAGAATTTACGTAACGTTGAACCGTCATGGAGAATTGCTGACTCCAGAAACTTTCTATCAACTGCATGCAAAATTAAAATAATGAAAATGCACTTGCTGCCTCAATCCAAACCTTTTTTGTTTTCACTCGCTATCAGCATGGGTATCCACATGATGAATTTTTTATTTAGGATTTTTCTTTAACGCGGGAAGTATCAACAGTGTTTTGAACTATTGCTTGGTTACTCTTAGGGAATGCAATCTCGACATCGCGAGATGTCGTTCATATTTTACGAGAGTGAGTTTTGGATAATTTTCGTACGAGATTTCGAGGGATAGCGAGATTGAACAGGGGATCATGTATCATAACGCGCTTACGTTCAAGATGTCCCAGTAGGACAGTATCTCGAAAGAAATTAATAAGATTGCAGTGCAAGACACAATGCAACTATAATACATAGGAAAACTCGTCGGTCACTCCCTTCGGTATAGGATGCTGCATCTAGTGCCATTGTGCAAAGCGAAAATGAAATCGATAGTGATGATAATGTACCTCTTACTAGTCTCTCCACAGCTTTTTCGCAATTACAATGCCTGCTCGCCAGTTGGCCTGGGAAGTAAAAATCATGACTGGTGAAATTCGTTGTTCCGTAGCTGGTCGGAAATGTCACGGTTGCCGACGTTATTTTTCGTCGAAAATACCAAACCAAATAACAATCCCTTTTCGAGTTCGCCGTGTAACAGAAAACACAAAGGAAGTGCCAGCGCAAGCTCAGCATCCATGATAAGAACGTGAGTTTAAAACAGGATACAGGAAAATAACATCATGTTGTCTATAGTACCATATCAAATTTTGTGTGACGCTTGAAAATTTTCATCCATCTCATACGCTACTGACGGACTGCAACAAGGTGACTTTGGAGCAAGTCCCAGGAGGTTCAGATTTACCATAAGCCTCCCTCGGAAACTGGAGTCCATTTGCCATAAAAATGTTGTTAATGGATTTATATTATCTGATCATTGGGAGAGACGGTAAGAAAGAAAGAAAATGGGGGGATATAACTGAATAGTTACGAATTCCAGACAAGGTTTATTTTATATGGTAATATTTGCCTTTTTAAGGAATTGAATCAGCGCTAAATGAATTTTGATATCCGGAAAGGATAAAATGGTAGTAAAACAGGTAGTTGGAAGTCAAATTTAGTCATCTGAGCGATGAATTGGTTGGAGATATTGGTGTAAAGATTACAAGCAAAACATATGTGATTTAGATCGACTATAGAAGATTCATCACAAAAACAATTTGGAGACTCTATTACACCTATTCGATGAAGATGAGCAGGAAAGCAACCATGACCCAATCTCAATCTCGTTATCAATCGTACCCAGAAGGTGAAAACACGTAAGGGATTTTCTTCTGCAAAGAGTGTGGCATCTGGCGTACCTCAAGGCTCTGTGTTGGGACCATTACTCTATTTAGTTTATACTTTTGATCTACTTGCCTTCAGCACTGTAATATTCAAACGTATGCAGATGACACGCAGCTAACTCTGTCTTTTGATTCTTCGGACATGCATGAAGCATCATATAAATTGAACTTAGATCTAGTTGACATTGAAGAGTACTGCAAAAGACATTGTCTGAAGATCAATGCTTCAAAATGTTCTACTATGCTATTTGGCCCAAAACAGTTAGTACAACGGTTAGATGGCACAATTGTTCCTAGTCTTAACGAAACCCATATTCCTATAGTAGACCATGCGAAGTATTTAGGGATCACCATGGATTCAGATGTGAGGTTTAAACATCATGTTACGCATTTATCTCGCTTAACATACATGCGTTTGAAATTATTATACACCAATCGCCATATTCTGAATTTCAAGACTCGCAAAAGACTGGCTGAGACTCTGGTTCTATCGTTCATAAATTATTCAATTGCTGTTTACTTTCCTTGTCTTGATTACGTGACTAGATATCGAGTACAAAAAATTCAAAATAGTTGCTGTAGGTTCGTTTGTGGTCTGCGAAAGTTTAGCCATGTGTCTAAGAAGATCAATGAGCTTAGATAGTTGAGGGTTGACCAGCTTTTCGCATATAACTTACTAATTTTAGTACAACGAATAAAAATCAATAGGCTACCTACTTATCTACTAAAAAGGCTGGTACCACATGGGGATCTCAATTACAGGAATCTGAGACATAACTCTGACTTCCATATACCTAGTTATAGGAGCAACATTTTCCATCGTAGCTTCACCTACAACGCTGTCAAGGTGTACAATAGTCTTAATGACAATTACAAAACGATGGGAATACTTGCTTTCAAGAGAGCCATTAAGAACCACCTTCTGGGGTCTGCTAGCCAAGCTGGCTGATATATTTATTTTTTTTGTCTTTGTTGTTTTTTTTTTGTTAGAGCGGGCTATGTGGAATAGATGAACAACATATTAAGATTAATCTATTTAAGCTTAATTACTGTATATATTATTTAGTCGATTGCTATTCATTGTTATGTTTTTCCTTTTGTATGTGTTCCTGCGCTGTGAGGTTAAGTGGTAGAGTAGCCAGCTGGCTAAACTTCGCCTCGCAGTGTGGAGGGATTAATAAAGACATTATTATTATTATTATTTATTCAAAAAATATAAGTTCGTAACTGCCAGAGCTCCACGTTGATTATCCTGTGAGAAAACAATGTGCATTTAGGTTCTAACAACAAACTCGACAGCATCCAGCGATAGCGTAGAATTGCACAAGCCGTTACATTACACTACAAACAGCTCCATTCCTTCTGTACACATATCCAGTTGTTTGACTGACAATATAGAAATTTTCCCCGTAAAGAATAAAATTTATCCTGGGCAGCATAACTTTGAAATATGAAAAATTTAATTTGATGCCGCGTGAAAAGAGAATTTACGTAACGTTGAACCGTCACGGAGAATTCCTGACTCCAGGAAAACTTTCCATCAACTGCATGCGAAATTAAAATAATGAAAATGCATTTGCTGCTTTAATCAAATCGTGATATTTTTGGCATGGTATGAATATGTTGAATGTTTTTATTTATGAATGTCCTCTAAAGCGGGAAGTATTTTAATATATTGCTTGGTTACTCTTAGGGAATGCAATCTCGATATCGTCAGATCTCGTTTATATTTTACGAGACTGAATCTTGGATAACTTTTGTAGAAGATTTCGAGGGATAGCGAGATTGAAGAGGCGAGCATGATCCACGTGTATCATAACGCGCTTGCGTTCAAGATCTCTCAATAGGTCAGTATCTGAAAAGAAATTAATAAACATATAGAAAGATTACACTGCAGGACACACTGCAGCTATAATACATAGGAAAACTCGCCGGTTACTGAATCACTCCTTCGTTATAGTATGCTACGTCTAGTGTCATTGTGGTATACATAAATTAAATCGATAGTGATGGTAATGTACCTCTGACTAGTCTCTCCGCAGCTGGATAAAGTATCACACATTCAGACAAACTGCACATCACGGAAGCAGCCCACTGCACGCTAAACAAATTCTTCAAAAAACTCATCGGAAATGCTGATTAAGAAATGAATTTATATGAAGCTGGAGGGGTTAAAGGCGGGCTCTTGCAGTTGGAATAATATAGCTACCTCTCAACTCTGGTGCTTACGAGTGTAGAAGCAGAACGTGCATTTCCAGCCGCGGCGCACTTACCCTGCAAACTCTTATAGCTCTGGCAAATGGAAGTTTAGCACGGCAAAGCCATATAGTTATTATAAACGCAGAATTCCTAATTCCGCGTAATACCCAAAATTCACCGAATTAATCCTTTTAGCGACTGCCTTGAAAATTAAAGTTGTTTTATATGGCTGGCTTACTCTTCTGTTTTACCTTTGAGAACTCATGTTCGCTGCGTGAAAACAAGCGCGAGAATTTGGAGATTGCCCGCTGGTGATAGATTCCATGGTGCGCTGTCATAAAGGGGTTATGAAACAAAATGCAAAATCCTTGGGTATTCGAAGTGTCAACAAGGAATCGCTTTCTGGGGCTGGAACTATCGGGAGTCTCAGATGGCTAATTTTCACCTCAAACTCACACCAACGATGCTTCGCAATTTTTTATACTCATATTAGAATATTAAAATATCCTTCAGACTTTTTCCACAATATGATTTTCGTAATTTGATATTTTATTTATATACAAAATAATACTGCCACCTTTGAATTGTTCGCCAAACGTGGTACTACCAACGCGTACGTCAGCAAGCGCTTTTAGGCATATCTAAATGACAGACCGATTCTATTAAACGAACAAGTGTCACCTACCACCATAGGCATCTCGTCACTCATGCTACCAAATTTGACATAAGTCCTGTTCGTACAGCAATCACCAACCTGTCAGTGACCGTATTCAAGATTCCGCCACACATATTCCCTCCACTCTGCTATGCTATATAGACGAAATTAACACGGCCGGATCCCAGACACAGTCGCTGACAAGTCACCCACCACTGTTCAAACAAACCTGTTATGTGCAAAAGTTGCATAAACAAAACTCCGACTGAATGGGATCTGTTTGCTTTTTGTCTATGTGACCATAAATAACGGTATACAACGTTGTTTTATAAATGTTTTTAGCAACCATCGGTACGGTAGTCTGGTAATGAGAGATAACAACAAAAAGCATGACTAGACCAATACCGTACTGATGAGAAACGTATGAAATAACTTATTCGGCTATAGTCACAGAGATGAAAAGTAAACAGATCCACAGATCCTACTCAGTCAACAATTTTTCTGTTTTTATGGCGTCTTCGTATTGTATCTTAATTATGATTCCTATATTGTGATTTTATGACCAATGGGTGTAGGGAGATTTACTCAAAGCCAGCAAAGGTCAGGTTTTGTGTTTTCATTTATTCATACACCTTCCGCAAACGAGCGCAAAGCATAATTTATCGTATATAAAATAGCGAAAGTGGCGTATTCCTAACGAAGGAAGGAAAAAACGCCCAATTGTAATCAGAACCGTGGCAAATGAATTTTAATTTGCCGCGGGTTTCCAGGGAAAGAGTTTCCTGAATTCAGCAATTTTCCGGGACGGTTCTGCATTATGTAGATTTTCTTTTCGCACACCCAAAAGAATTCAAGCGCGGATTATGCTCGCGGTCAAATGAGATTTTTTTGTTGGCGCGTTAATCTATGCATCGCTGCATTGTTTACGACGGGACAAAGTGTGACGGCGGAAAAATTATTCTTTGAGGAGAAAATTCATGTTTCCACAGATAAACGTCTGGCTGTTTGTGCTCAATTTTACATCTTTGCCCCAGCGTGCAGGAATTCAACTCGACACATTGATGCATATTTTCTTTACGTTTACCATCTGTTTCCAAACAGAGGGGTAGTGATTGTGACATTTTATTCCCCAGAAGATTGTAAATTCTTTAAGGCTGAGATACATTTGTTTTTTATAAATTTATACATCATTCGCTATACTACAAAGTGCGTCATCTATTTTTGGTACAGACCTGCCTTAGTACTTCAACGCTACCTGATGGTATTTCGTTTTCATTATAATCAAATCGGTCATCCTTACTAGTTTCCTTGATTTGTTTTATTTTCACATGCATGTGATATATGCACAAAAGCAGAAAAATTTTAAATCCACCAGCTACAAAAATACGGACGAATACAGTATCCACTTTGTCTTATCTGCCTTGACCGAAATGGCTTATCTATTTTTTTTTACAAAAATCGTGGTCTCAATTCTACTCATTTGTATGACGATACCAGATTGATGGTTTTGATATAAAACGGAAAATTGAATTTCGCTATACCCGGATTTCTCCTATGTACTTCAAAGATATTAAAATATGCAAAATTAAACCATATTGAGTCAATATTTAAGTGCAATTTTCAGTAATAATCGATAAAAAGATATGATGAGTGTTATTATTTTGCTAAACTTATCTACTACTCCCATAATTCAAAAACAGTTTTTCGGGATTTTTTCAATATTATTATTATCAGTATTATCAATTCGGCATATCAACTATTTGAGACTCAAGTACTAAACCAAGCCCAACGAAGGTCTTCAAAATTGTTTTATTTGTCAATGGCTCAGTGTTTGATATCGCCTGAAAAATTCGACTTTTGTGGCATTAGGTTATTGGAGTCACCAATTCAATTAAACGTATCCTTATTAACTAATGTTTCATCGATACAAAGCGCATAATTAGTTTTACCAAACTAGATTGGGAAAAATGGGCAAAAGCGAATTAGTTTGTGAAAGTATGTCATACAGGCTGTTCCCTAAACATGGACAATGACTTTAAGGTGTAATTTTTAGACTATTTTTCAACTAACAAATGTCCATGTTCTATTTATTGCCAAACGAAACTATGGTAATGACCTAAATCGTCAGATTTTATTTAACTCTACATTTGTAATTTCATTTGACACATGAGTACAACATGGAGACTCTAGTCTCAGCTCCTTCTAAGCTCGCCGAAAAGGTGATTCTACCTCACCTTGAAAATTCCTCGTCAGACCACAATGTGACGCCTGACGTGCAATTTGGCTTTCGGTCTGAGCATAGTACAGAGTTATAAGCATTTAGGCTTGTTGAGCGAGTAACCAGGGGATTCACCCGTAACGAAAGTACTGGATGTCTCAAAGGCATTTGACAAAGTGTGGCACAATGGTCTCCTCTACAAATTGATCCAAAAGGTCTTCCCCTTCTAGCTCCTAAGCTCCTAAAACTTTTGAAATCTTTCCTTGAGGGCAGGAAATTTCGGGTCCAAATTAATAACGTTCTGTCGACAACACGGCCTGTCAAAGCCGGTGTCCCTCAGGGCTCGGTTCTTAGGCCAATCCTTTATTCACTTTTTATTCATGACATCCGTTGCCACAGAAACTGTGAGATCTATCTCTATGCTGATTACACTGCCCTGGTGGCCCAGTCGTATTCTGGGACCCTGGTTCACGGCAGGGTACGAAGTGCGGTGGACGAGGAATTGGACTGGGCGGATCGGTGACTGATCAAAATTAATCACGAAAGCCCAGGCTATTTATTGCGCTAAAGACCGTAGCGGCGCTCCGTCTCAGGTTTCAGTGAATGGAGCTCGGGTACCATTAGTAACTTCTACTGAGCATCTCGGGGTCACTCTTGACAAGGGGATGACTTGGTAGAATCACACTTGAGCGTTAGAAACCAAATTCCAAATCAGTTATATACAAGACAGTTATTAGACCAGCGAGCACGTACGCAAGTGCGGCTTGGTGTTTTCTCGCCAAAACTCATTTGCGTAGTATGCAGGTCTTGGAGAACAGAACCTTGCATTCAATCACTAAGGCCCCATGGTATGTCTTCAATAAGACCCTTCTCAGAGAACTTGACATCCCTTATCGAAGGGACTACATCAAACAGCAAGCGCAGCTACGTTACAGTCAAGCGGAATCGCATAGCAACCCTTTTTTTGCTTGAGTCAGTAGACTACACTGTTGAGCAAGTTCGCAAGTACACAAGGCCCCGCTTCGCATTGTGGACAAAATTAAATCGTGCGGCCTCAGGTCCAAACAAAAAATTAATTTTTCTCCAACAACCAATCTCTAAATTAACTTTAGGATCAATTTAAAATTCCTAAATAAATACTATACTATAACTATCTAAAACTGTAATGACTCATCGATGTTCACGTGAACATCACTTAACTACCAGTAGTCGGCTGTTCATAGGCGGGGTATGAATGTTTAACATGGGTGAACTAGATTTGTCACATGCTTAATAAAGAGTGGTTTGAAGCATATTGTAAGTCAAAAATTTGGGAATTACCTTTATTCATCGTCGCTTCCACTTACATCTGACAGTAATAAACTGTCGCTATCGCTTTCCTCGTTGAAATTCACTATAACTGGCTCTATGATGTTGTCGATGTGGTGGTCAAGCTGCCACATTTTTGTTTCTTCCTTCACAACATGACGGATAGCATTCTGCCAAGCTTCGGGCGTTACTAGCTGTATGGAAGTCTCAAGTAAAACCTTAACGTCTGGTAATTTGAAGGTTGTGTTATGGCGCGCAATGTAACCCTTCACTTGAGCCCAGATGAGCTCTATTGGGTTCAGTTCACAGTGGTAGGGCGGTAACCGCAGCACAGTGACACCACATTGACGGGCCATCTCATCAGTCACGTAACTAATGTTCGCAGGTTTGTGCTGTTTAATTTTTTCATACAATTCCGCTTTCACACATGAATCGTTAAACGGGATTCCTTTTTCGCGCAACCATTGCTGCATGT